ACTTATTCAAGTTAAAATAATTAAGAAAATGTGGTACAGGTGCAAGGATAGACAAATGACACAGTGGAACAGAATAGAGAGTCTAAAAGAAGTACTCAGACATATGTGCCCTGTCACTTATCACAAAGATGGCCCTGCAGTGGGGAATAGTCTTTTCAGAAAAAAGATTCTGCTTCAACTGGATGCCCGTATGAAAACATGACACTTGACCCTATTCTACACAGATATCAATCCTAGAATCAGTGTACAATTTTATGCAAAAGAAAAATAATTACACTTCTATGAGATATTCTCAGAGAACATTTTCTGTGATTTTGGAGTAGACAAAGTTCTTTTCAGAAGGGTAAAAAGCTCTGTGGAATGGAACAATGGACTTGTTCAAAACTGAGAAAGGAGTACTGCAAGGCTGTATATTGTCACTCTGCTTATTTAACTTATATGCAGAGTACATCATGTGAAATGCCAGGCTGGATGAAGCACAACCTGGAGTCAAGATTGCCAACAGAAATATCAATAATCTCAGATATGCAGGTGACACCACCCTTATGGCAGAAAGTGAAGAGGAATTAAAGAGCTTCTTGATGTAAGTTAAAGAGGTGACTGAAAATGCTGGCTTAAAACTAAACATTCAAAAAAATGAAGAAAATGGCATTTGTTCCCATCACTTTATGGCAAATAGATGGGGAAACAGTGGAAACAGTGAGAGACTTTCTTTTCTTGGACTCCAAAATCACTGCAGATGGTGACTGCAACCATGTAATTAAAAGACACTTGCTCCTTGTAAGAAAAGCTATGACCAACCTACACAGCATATTAAAAAGTAGAGACATTACTTTGCAAACAAAGGACCAAAAAAGCTTTGGTTTTTCCAGTAGTCATGTATGTATGTGAGAGTTGGATCATAAAGAAAGCTGAGCACCGAAGAACTGATGCTTTTGAACTGTGGTGTTGGAGAAGACTCTTCAGAGTCCCTTGGACTGCAAGGAGATCAAACAGTCAGTCCTAAAGGAAATCAATCCTGAATATTCATTGGAAAGACTGATGCTGAAGCTGAATCTCCAGTTCTTTGGCCACATGATAGGAAGAATTGACACTTTGGTAAAGACTCTGATGCTGGGAAAGATTGAAGGCAGGAGAGGAAGGGGATGACAGAGGATGAGATAATTGGATGTTATCACTGACTCAATAGATATGAGCTTGAGCAAGCTCTGGGAGATGGTGAAGGACAAGGAACCTTGGCGTGCTGCAGTCCATGCGGTCAGAAAGAGTCAGACATGACTGAGTGACTGAACTGAACTGAACTGACTGACTGAAGGAGCACTACATGTACAGAGAAAAAGGTGATAAGTCAAACCTAAGATTAGTAACTTGGCTCATTGAAGTACAGCATACCATTAAGAAAATAAAAATATAAGACCAAGAATTAAACACACAAAAATCATAAAAAATATTTCTGCCAAAAGTCATCATCATGGTAATTTGCACATTTGTATTTGTAATAGTCAAGAACTGGAAACAAATTCAAATCTCTGCCAGTACTTGAATGAATCAGTGCATGATCATGTGATCATTCAAAGGAATACTATACAACAATAAAAATTAATAAAAACATTGCCATAAACAACATCATGAGTGAATCTCAAACACAGTTTGGAGTCAAAGAAATTAGACTCAAAAGAAAACATACTGTATGGTTTTACATAAAGTTCACAAACTGACAATATATTCTATGGCAGTACAAGTCTTAGGTAAGCAGTCCTCCCAGGAGAGGAGGGGGACACAGCTATTGGGAGGCAATAGTGATTCTGTGATGCTGTGAATGTTCTCTTTGTAGATCTGGGTTGGAGAACATGGCCTAGGTGTACACGTATTGTTTGTACTTTGTTCTCTATTATTATCCTTAAATAATAATGTTTCATAAAAAAATATTATTCATCTAGGCATTTCTTTCCCTGACATAGCACTTTTTGGCATTTCTGAGCACTTCTTTCCCATGAAAATATGAGTGAACGATGAGAATGTTTTGGAGCAGGACCTTAGGGAGCCTTCTCAGGACAGATTACCCTCATGTCGTACACGTGGCTCTGTTTGTAGAAAAATCTAGCCAAAGAATAAATTTAATCACAGAAATGAAAAAAAAATCAGAAAAAAAGGAAAATAGTCAAATAGGACAAAATAATAATAGTTTGAATGTGAAAGTGACATCGCTCAGTCGTTTCCAACTCTTTGTGACCCCATGGGCTGCAGCCTATCAGGCTCCTCCGTCCATGGGATTTTCCAGGCAAGAGTACTGTAGTGGGCTGTCATTTCCTTCTCCAGGGGATCTTCCCAACCGAGGGATCGAACCCAGGTCTCCTGCATTGCAGACAGATGCTTTACCATCTCAGCCACCAGCATTTCAGCTTGTGCTTGATCCAACCCTACATTTAGCATGATGTACTCTGTGTATAAGTTAAATAAGCAGGGTGACAATAGACAGCCTTTACATACTCCTTTCCCTATTTGGAAACCATCTGTTGTTCCATGTCCAGCTTTAACTGTTACTTTTTGACCTGTATACGGACTTCTCAAGAGGCTGATAAGGTGGTCTGGTATTCCCATCTCTTGAAGAATTTCCCAGTTTGTTGTGATCCAAACAGTCAAAGGCTTTGGCATAGTCAATAAGCAGAAGTAGATGTTTTTTCTGGAACTCTCTTGCTTTCTTGATGATCGAACGGATGTTGGCAATTTGAGCTCTGGTTCCTCCGCCTTTTCTAAATCCAGCTTGAACATCTGAAATTTCATGGTCCACTTACTGTTGAAGCCTAGCTTGGAGATTTTTGAGCATTACTGTACTAGTGTGTGAGATGAGTACAACTGTGCTGTAGTTTGAGCGTTTCTTTGGGATTGGAATGAAAACAGACATTTCCCAGTCCTGGGGCCACTGGTGAATTTTCAAAATTTGCTGACATATTGAGTGCAGCACTTTCACAGCATCATCTTTTAGGATTTGAAAGAGCTCAACTGGACTTCCATCACCTCCACTAGCTTTGTTCATAGTGATGCTTCCTAAGGCCCACTTGACTTCACATTCTCAGATGTCTGGCTCTAGGTAAGTGATCATACCATCGAGATTATCTAGGTCATGAAGATCTTTTTTGTACCGTTCTTCTGGGTATTCTTGCCACCTCTTCTTAAAATCTTCTGCTTCTGTTAGGTCCATACCATTTCTGTCCTTTATTGTGCCCATCTTTGCATGAGACATTCCCTTGGTAGCTCTAATTTTCTTGAAGAGATCTCTAGCCTTTCCCATTCTATTGTTTTCCTCTGTTTCTTTGCACTGATCACTGAGGTAGGCTTTCTTATCTCTCCTCGCTATTCTTATCTCTCCTTGCATTGAAATGGGTATATCTTTCCTTTTTCCTTTGCTTTTCACTTCTCTTCTCAGCTATTTGTAAGGCCTCCTGAGACAGCCATTTTGCTTTTTAGCATTTCTTTTTCTTGGGGATGGTCTTTCTCACTGCCTCCTTTACAATGTCACGAACCTCTGCCCATAGTTCATCAGGCACTCACTAGATCTATCAGATCTAGTCCCTTAAAGCTATTTCTCACGTCCACTGTATAATTGAAAAGGATTTGATCTAGGTCATACTTGAATGGTCTAGTGGTTTTACCTACTTTCTTCAATTTAAGTCTGAATTTGCCATAAGGAGTCCATGATCTGAGCCACAGTCCACTCCTGGTCTTGTTTTTGTTGACTGTATAGAGCCTCTCCATCTTTGGTTGCAAAGAATATAATCAATCTGATTTTGGTACTGACCATCTGGTGATGTCCATGTGTAGAGTCTTCACCTGTGTTGTTGGAAGAGGGTGTTTGCTATGACCAGTGTGTTCTCTTGGCAAAACTCTGTTAGCCTTTGTCCTGGTTCATTTTGTACTCCATGTTGTACTCCAAACTTACCTACTATTCCACGTGTCTCTTGACTTCTTACTTTTGCATTCCAGTCCCCTATAATGAAAAGGACATCTTTTTTTGTTGTTGTTAGTTCTAGAGGGTCTCATAGGTGTTTCATAGATCCTTTTAACTTCAGTTTCTTCAGCATTACTGGTTGGGGCATCGACTTAGATTACCATGATACTGAATGGTTTGCCTTGGAAACAAACAGAGATCATTCTGTCACTTTTGAGATTGCATCCAAGTACTGTATTTAGGACTCTTTTGTTAACTATGGCTCCTCAGTTTCTTCTAAGGGATTCTTGCCTGCAGTAGTAGATATAAAGGTCATCTGAGTTAAATTCACCCATTCCAGTCCATTTTAGTTCACTGATTCCTAAAATGTCGATGTTCACTCTTGCCATCTCCTGTTTGACCACTTCCAAATTACCTTGATTAATGGACCTAACATTCCATGTTCCTATGCAATATTGCTCTTTACAGCATCAGACTTTACTTCCATCACCAGTCACATCCACTACTGTTTGTTGTTTTTACTTTGGCTCCATCTCTTCATTCTTTCTGGAGTTATTTCTCCACCAATCTCCAGTAGCATATTGGGCACCTATTGACCTGGGGAGTTCATCTTTCAGTGTACTATCTTTTTGCCTTTTCATACTGTTCATGGGACTCTCAAGGCAAGAATACTGAAGTGGTTTGCGATTCCCTTCTCTAGTGAACCACATTTTGTCAGACCTGACAAAACCTCCACCTGTGCACTCCTGAAATTCCCATTTAAAAACTCTTGCCCCTGATCACCAAGGAGGAGCTGTTTCTTTGGTACATTAATCCTCTGTCTCCCCAGAACTGCTGCTTTCCTCAATAAAGCTGTCTTTAATTTTACCCCACACTTTTCTCTCAGTATTGGATTCTTGAGTAATGAGCAGCTGAAACCTGAGTTCAGTAACAAGAATAAATATTTCACTACAGAATATCTTCCTTTTTAAGCCTGTTTTCCCTTTTTCTCTGCTTTAGGGAGATTTCACTCCAGGAGCATCCTAAGTATAGTAGCCCCTCCCTGTCTTACCTGAGCAGACCACAGAGGCCGTGTTGCCATGGGAACAGTCAGGAACACCCAGGGCAGTCACAGGGCATTGCCACAGGAAGGACTCAGTCCCTGAGCAGTGGAATCGGGCTTTCCAGAGTTGATCACTTCCTTCTGCTCCGTTTGGGGTGGAGATGGCGACGCCACAGCCGAGCTGATGACAGACAACGTTGGCATTGGCCAGACTCCAGTGGGAGGCACAGAGAGCTCTCCATTGTCCAGAAATATTCATCTCCACCTGCCCCTCACACCTAGAGGTGCCATTTTTCATGAGCCGGATGTCTGTGTACACTGATAGAAAAAGACAGGATTTCAGCAAAGTCTTATTTTTTTTAGCTGAACAGACTGTACATGGAGGTTAAGTCCTGCCACGCATCTCACCTGAACAGACAACCTGAGCAGCTCCACTGTGGTGACACCTGCCCCCTGGACAAGGCACTCTGGGGCAGAACTGGAGCTTAGGTTCCTCCCCCTCACACCTGAACTCTTCAGCCCAGACCCGGTCATCAGATTCTCTGAAGGGCACGTGTCCCAGGACAGACACAGCCTTGCCGCACCCCAGCTCTGCACAGATGACCTGGGCAGTAGGGAGTTTGAAGTTCCCATCAGACACTGGGGTCCAGGCATCTCCAGAATACACTTCTACTCGCCCTGAGCAGGGTCCATCCCCTCCAACCAGATGCACAAATCCTAAGAGAAACAAAGGACAAACCCAGTGAGTATTCATGAACCTGGCTTGACAATTGGAAACAACACCTCACAGGCAATCGTGTGAGAGCTTTTCTTTCCAACAATGGAATAAGAGGGGATAAGAAGAGAGAATTTGACTATCATTGTCAAAACGCATTTTCATGAGCAAGTTTCTGAAAAGATATCCAGAAGGATTGCAGGGTCAGTTTGGAATGGCTAAATCCCAAGAATATATATTGGATAGGAATGTCAATTCCTATCTGAGGGCCTGGAAACTACAGTGCCCAAAGAAACTGCACAGTAGTAGACATTCAAATGGGTCCAGAGCTGGACTAACTGAGAGTGAAAAAAGACCATGGGATTCAAGAGGTGAGAGGCCTAAGAGCCAGAGAAGTTTAGAAGGTCGTCCTGAGATTTCTGGGGCTAGATTTTGGCTAGTTTTCTCTCAGAGCCAATATTCAAGTCACTGAGGACAGGGAACATCATGCAGTCTGGATCTGAGGGCAGGCACTAGGTCACAGTTAGGTAACCTAATTGTGAAAGAAGTTATTCACAGAAAAGTTTGGAAATGATGAAAGCTCAGAGAGTCATAGGAGAGGGAGGGAATGATCCTAGCCATCTTTCTTAAAAACCTAGGATTTATGAACACACCTGAGAGAACGTGAAGTCTCAGTGGGATTATGCAAGACAACTGAGTTAGTTGATTACTTCAGACTAGACATGAGATACTTAGCAAATGTGGAGGAGTAATGATAATTTAATGTATTCTAACTCTATCTATATGGTGACTGCATATTCCTTTTCTATTTGGATTTCTGAGATAAGAAGCCGGCAAGCTATAAAAAAGGAGAGTGAGAGGAAGAGAGCAGAGAGCAAGCAAGCAAGCAATATATATTTTAGTGATTTCTAAATTGCAAAAGACTCAATAGGAAAAAAAAAGACTCAATAGGGATGAAACATAGATTTGGAAACCAAATACTTTACAAGATTTTAACACCTTTTATCCCCGTGCTTCTCACATTTTCCACCTAACACTGCTACCCTTTCCCATTTCCCCCAATGCAGAAATGAAGAAACAATCTTAAGAGCTACAAATAGGTGGAAAGGAGACTCCAAAAGGAAAGAACTTCTGTAGCGAGTGAGGTGGGGTGAGTTAAATGGGGAGTGGATGGAGTATGAAAGAGAGACCAAAAAAAAGACTCATGTTCATGATTTCATCCTTCAGGGACCCTATTTGGATAGAGAAAAGGTACTCCAATGAGAAACAATCCCTGCACATCATAAAGAACAATTTTTTAAATAATTTGCGTGGTTTCTGAGTTTGCTCATGGTTATTTACGTACATGGTGGAATTTCTCCTGGTAAAGGAATCTGGTTGCATAAGTATGTGAACTTTGAAGTCTCAAAAACAATGATGTAACAGAATGAAAATCTACTTTAGAGAGCAGGAGAGAACAGAAAAGACACCACAGAAATTAAAGAATTGAAGGATTAGCTTGACCACTGATATAAGAATGAATGATGAGAGAGAGGATGATCTGCTGGTCTTTTATTATTTATCCATTTCCATCTCCCCAGAGAGGCCCGGGTTAGGACCTCTAGTCTCCTCTGGCTGGGAACTTGGTCACAGGCTACACATTCTAATTAAAGCATTTTTATTTAACTGGTTGTTTTTGTTGCTCAGTCACTCAGTTGTGTCCAACTTTTTGTGACCCCATGGACTGCAGTACACCAGGCTTCCCTGTTCTTCACTATCTCCCTGAGTTTACTCAAACTCATGTCCATTGAGTCAATGATGCCATCCAACCATCTCATCTTTTGTTGTCCCCTTCTCCTCTGATCTTCAACATTTCCTAGCCTCAGGGTCTTTTTCAATGAGTCAGTTCTTCTTACCATGTGGCTAAAGTATTGGAGTTTCAGCTTTAGCATCCATTCTTCCAATGAGTTATTCAGGGTTGAGATTTCCTTTAGGATTGACTGATTTGATCTTCTTGCTGTCCAAGGGACTTTCCAGAGTCTTCTCCAGCACCACAGTTCAAAAGCATCAATTCTTCAGCGCTCAGCCCTCTTTATGACCCAACTCTCATGTCCATACATAACTACCAGAAAAAAAAAACAACTTTGGCTATATGGACCTTTGTCACAAAGGAATGTCTCTGCTTTTCAATAAGCTATCTAGGTTTGTCATAGCTTTTCTTCCAAGGAGCAAGCATCTTTTAATTTCATGACTGCAGTCACTGTCCACAGTGATTTTGGAACCCCAGAAAATAAAGTCTGTCTCTGTTTTCATTTTTTCCTCATCTCTTTGCCATGAAGTGATTGGACTGGATGCCATGATATTAGTTTTTTGAATGTGGAGTTTCAAGCCAGCTTTTCACTCTTCTCTTTCACTTTCATCAAGGGGCTCTCCTCTGTTCCTCTTTACTTTCAGCCATTAGGTTGGTGTCATCTGCATATCTGAGGTTATTGATATTATTAATTAATTCCCTGAGATTAAAAATTTAGAAAGAACAAGAAAGAAGTATTTCTTGTATTCTGGTTTATATACCCTGATACATGTGAAATATTCAAATATATGCTGAATAATCAATAAAGTCTTATATATATATATATTATATATATATATATATATATATATATATCAGGATAGAGACTTCTGAGATATAGTATATCTTTTTTATTTTCTACTTGATTTTAAAATTTACAGGGAAGAATAAGTGTGTGACAATTCCAAGAAAACTAATAAATAGAAGGCTGATGTGAGTAAAGGTATTACATATAATAAAGATATATCCTTGTCTAGTCTCTTGCTGTGTACACACCTGTGTCCTTAGACACACATAGCAACCTCCATACAACACCCAGCCCCTCAGTGCTGCTCAGAGAACCTCACAGTTGCCTTCATCAGCTCCCATTGCCATTCTCCTTCCTCCCAGCTACTATAAAACCTTTTCCACCTTCTTCAAAATTTATATTTGTCCACTTACTCCAAATAAGCCCCCAAACACAATTCTCTTGTATCATTGAAGTCATCAAGTATAAACTATATAATCTTTTATCATAAAATAAAGAAATTCAAATGTTATTACCTCCACCTTTGACTTGTCAGCACATGGCTAACTGTTCCTCCAAAGACTCATTTATACAGATATTTTAAAGGAAAAATTGGAGAGAGAGACTTTTCTAGTAACAATGGAAGAATATATGACTCAGAGCATTTCATCGACAGTTCTCTACCATCAAAGAAATATGAACATTTATGTCTAAATTTGCAAACGAAACTTGAAATCTGGCACAAATCCATAAGAATCTCTGATCTGTTAAATGATATCCTCTGTAGGGATACCCTCTATATAAGTAAATTATATTCTCCTATAGTAGGAGTAGCCTCCACTCATACTAACCTAGTGCAAAATAATGTCCCACACTCTGTATAGAAACAACTCCACCCAGGAAAGTACATCTTCATTTTTGATCCTTTCTCTCATAGCCTTCCTGTGCAAAGGGACTGTGTATGGGGCAGTTAGCAAATGTTTCACTCTTACAGAACGTGAATTATGAAATAAGTTATGAGGATTTATTTTAACTGGGAGAATAAATAAAGCTATTTTAGTTTCAGGTAAGGCCACTGGAGAAGAAAAGAATAGCAGAGACTTGTAAGAGGAAAGTATATGAAGCTCCTAGCTCACAGCTACAGTGCACTCAGGGAGGATGGGTAGTTGTCTCAGTCCTCTCTAGCCCACGCATCCCATATTGTCCCTCTGATCAGACATCAGCTTTCTTGGAACTTTCCATTCTCCCAGCTGGTGGGCAATGAACTGATCATACCTGAGCAGATGACTCCTGCATCCTGGCTATGATCACAGTAGTGCTTCCCCCAGCCCCAGGAAGGGCATTTCCACACATGGGACTCCTTTCCTGTGCACCTCACGTAATCCAGCCAAATGCGCCCAGATCCTGCCCCAAAGGAGGAAGAGACAGTGGCATCAAGGGCTTCTCCACAGCCCAGCTGCCTGCACACCACGCGGGCATCGTTCAGGTCCCAATGGTAATCACAGATGGTGCCCCAGGAGCCGTGGTCAAGGATCTCCACTCTCCCGGCGCAGGGACCGCCTCCGTCCACCAGGCGGAGCTGTCTGCTACCTGAGGAGAGAGAAATGGGACAATGGGGCGGTGACCTGGGGAATGAGAAGGGTCTTCTGTCCTGTGGGACCCTCACCTGAGCAGTAAGGGGCGCCCTCCTCTTCGGCTGCAGACCCTGCTGATTCTGAAATGAAGTCATTGCACTGGGGCAGCAGCGGGGTCTGGTTTCTTATAGCAGTGGCAAGAGAATTAATAAGGTTGAAAAATAGAAGGAAAAAAAAAACAGGAAATACTAAGTTGAAAACACTCTAAAGAGTAGCCTGAGACAGAAGGTGTTACAAGGTCATATAAGAGTTAACATTCTGATCTGTAGAGTTCTGCACAGCATCTGAGAAAGATTTACAGGAAATGTTGGTCTCTCTTCCCAGAGCAGTTAAATCAGTTCAGAGTCACAGGAATGAGCTGGCAACTGGATGGATTCCTTAAAAACCACACACACTTTGATGCCATTTACTTAAGAGTTAAAGGGGTTGATTAAAGGGAGTGGAGTCAGGAACTGGCCTCATCAAATGCCTCAGATAGCAGTCATGAATCATCTACTATTAGAATCCTTTCCTTGGTACAGTCATTCAGAACTGAAAAACAAATTGATTCTGAGATGTCTTGGTTTACCCCAGAATATATCACTTTTGGTTCTAAGCTTCAGACTTCAGATCTGGAAACTCAGCTTCAAAAAATGTGATCTTTTTGAGTGGATTAAACAATTTGTATGAGAGATGATGTCAGGTAACATTGATTGACATTGGCCAGATTCCACTGAGAATCAGAGAATGTTCTTCTTCTCCCCCAAACATACAATCCCTCCTTGGACTTTGGTTCAAGAATCTCTGTTATTCAAATTTTGGAGGTATGTGATCTTGAGGAGGAAATAGTGTATATGTGTGCTTAGTCGCTCCAGTCATGTTCAACTCTTTAAGACTCTATGAACTGTACCTCACCAGGCTTCTCTACCCATGGGATTCTCCAGGCAAGAATAGTGGAGTGGGTTGCCATGCCCTCCTCCAGGGTGTCATCCTGACCCAGCGATTTAACCAGTGTCTCCTGCATTGCAGGTGGATTCTTTACCACTGAGCCACTGGTGAAGCCCTTCTGGTTCTATCACTGAGCAGAAATAAGTTATATTGCTGCTCTGAAAGCCCTTGAACTAATAACATTAACAGAATCACTGTATTCTTCTCTCTTTTTATACATAAAAGTGACATAAAGAAAGGTTAAATAATGTCTATCAGTGCTGCACTTTAAGTAAATAACGAAGTAGAGAATTAAACCTAAAATTTTCCACTTCCAGGGAGAATGGAGGAGTTCACAGCAGGCCAATTTGTCTTGCTGGGTCTTGCTGGATACAACATTAAAAGCTTGAAAATGTTTTTTAAAAAACAGTAAATGTATTTGACATTTGCTAACACAACATGGGCTAAATATGCTAAAATTCTAAAGAGTGGAAATTATTTCAATGTTAGTCCAGGATCTATAGCTTCTTTTTCTCTGTGGGAATTTGCCAATTCGTTGCATAATTTAATGATTCAGAATCTGGGCTTGGGCAAGCAGAGGACTACAGTTGTGACAGGGAACCAGCATAATTTGGGAGTTACCTGGTGCTGGAGTGACAAAATTAGAGTCTTGAGAGCCTCTCTCACACAGCAGGTTTTCTCCTCAAAGATCTGCCTAGTATATAAGCTGTGAAGGGCAGGAAGCTAAAGAACTACATAAAAAGACTTGGAAAGCAGAGTCTTTCTCATTCTCTTGGGTACTGAGCTACCAAAGAATCTAGGCTCTGAACTGAAATCTCTAAAAGTCCATGTCACAGGGATAGAGAAATCAGAAGTGGACTGAGTGTTACCAGAACTGCAACCCACACTTGTTACAGTTCAATTTTAGGTTATATTTAGATGTTTGAATGTCATTTACCCCTTCCCCCTACCTGTCTAGCAAAACAAAGGGTAAATCTTTACAGGCGTTAAAAAACGTATTGGGAATAGCTTACTTCTTCATATATAATTTATAGTACTCAATAAAAAATAACATGACATTTGACAAGCTAAGATAACATGACAAATGATCAAAGTGAAAACAGAAAATAAGAGAATGCAAAGACACACATAATAGAAATGTTGGATTTGGCAGATAAGGATTTTAACTATGATTAATGTATTTAGGGGAAAAGAGAGGCGAGAATAAACATGTAAAAAGATGAAGAAAATACCAAATAATCATTAATAAATAAAAATATCAAAGGAACCATTGCCAACCATAAAAAGTGAATGAACAAGTTAAAAGAATTTTAGATAGAACTCGGAATATAGTGACTTAGAGGAGTCCTAATGTGTTCCCTGGTGGCTCAGATGGTAAAAGCATCTGCCTACAATGCAAGAGACCCGGGTTTGATCCTTGGGTCAGGAAGATCCTCTGGAGAAGGAAATGGCAACCCACTCCAGTACTCTTACCTGGAAAATCCCATGGATGGAGAAGCCTGGTAGGGTACAATACATGGGGTCACAAAGAGTCAGACAAGACTGAATGACTTCACTTTCACCTCTTTCAGAGGAGTCCTAAAGATGAGCGATGAGAAGCAGAAGAAAGAGGAGGAGGAGAGGGAAAAGAGATCTAGAGACAGAGAGACAGAACTACAGAAGTAATATATGAAGGTATAATGATAGATAATTTAAAAAAAAATAAATGGAAGAGTATGAAAACCTAGTAAAGCTGCTGAAAGCCAAAAGGAAAAAGGGAAATCTGAAATAATAACAGATTTAAATAATACTAAAGGAAAAAAAAGGAGTGAAAAGGGAACATAAAGCAGGTGGATCAATTAAGAAAACAGAAAAAGAGAAATTAAGGGAGAAATCCATTCACCATTGCAATGAAAAGAATAAAATACTTAGGAATAAATCTACCTAAAGAAACAAAAGACATATATATATATATATATATATATATATAGTTTTCTCTATATTGAAAACTATAAAACACTGATGAAAGAAATCAAAGATGACACAAATAGATGGAGAAATATACCATGTTCATTGATTGGAAGAATCAATATAGTGAAAATGATATACTACCCAAAGCAATCTATACATTCAATGCAATCCCTATCAAGCTACAAATGGTATTGGTACAACAAATAATTTCACAGTGTATAATATGGAAATACAAAAAACCTTGAATAGACAAAGCAATCTTGAGAAAGAAGAATGGAACTGGAGGAATCAACCTGCCTGACTTTACTATACCACAAAGCTATGGACAGAGGTTCATGACACTGTACAGGAGACAGGGATCAAGACCCTCCCCAAGAAAAAGAAATGGAAAAAAGCAAAATGGCTGTCTGAGAAGGCCTTAAAAATAGCTGAGAAAAGAAGAGAAGAAAAAAGCAAAGGAGAAAAGGAAAGATATACCCATTTGAATACAGAGTTCCAAAGAATAGCAAGGAGAGATAAGAAAGCCTACCTCAGTGATCAATGCAAAGAAATAGAGGAAAACAACAGAATGGGAAAGACTAGAGATCTCTTCAAGAAAATTAGAGATACTAAGGGAACATTTCATGCAAAGATGGGCTCAATAAAGGACAGAAATGGTATGGACCTAACAGGAGCAGAAGATATTAAGAAGAGGTGGCAAGAATACTCAGAAGAATGGTACAAAAAAAGATCTTCATGACCCAGATGATCACAATGTCTGATCACTCACCTAGAGCCAGACATTCTGGAATGTGAAGTCAAGTGGGCCTTAGGAAGCATCACTACGAACAAAGCTAGTGGAGGTGATAGAATTCCAGTTGAGCTATTTCAAATCCTTAATGATGATGCTGTGAAAGTGCTGCACTCAATATGTCCACAAATTTAGAAAACTCAGTAGTGGCCACAGAACTGGAAAGAGTCAGTTTTCATTCCAATCCCAAAGAAAGGCAATGCCAAAGAATGCTCATACTACTGCACAGTTGCACTCATTTCACACACTAGTAAAGTAATGCCCAAAATTCTCCAAGCCAGGCTTCAACAGTACATGGACCATGAAATTTCAGATGTTCAAGTTGCATTTAGAAAAGGCAGAGGAACCAGACATCAAATTGCCAACATCTGCTGGATTATTGAAAAAGCAAGAGTTCCAGAAAAACATCTATTTCTGCTTTAATGACTATGCCAAAGCCTTTGAATGTGTGGATCACAATAAACTGTGGAAAATTCTGAAAGAGATGGGAATACCAGACCA